GAATAGTGGGATTGACCGTCACATTATAACGCCCCCACGGCTGAAAGGGCGAGCATGTTTGGTGTGAGAGGGAGGAAGCTAAATAAAACTGAGGAAGTAATTACTGAATGATATTAGTGTATTGTAAACGCTGCGATTACAAAGAAATCAATCACATTCTAATTCGTTTCGATTTATTTCGTATTATAAAGAAATGAGGAAGGAATTTTAAAAAGTGCCAACTCATTCACCGAGAGGATACGGTTTTCGGGATATTTGTTAGTACAATGTATCTCCACGGGGGGGGATCTCTCTCTCTATCTCAGATATGGTTATGAGAGTTACCCGAAATAATGCGGAAATACGATTTAAGATTTTTTTTTAGTAGGGGATTAAAAAACAGAATGGGTTTTTATTACTTACATCTTCAAACAGTTTGTGCGTGGGGAAATAAGGTCGCTTATGTTTAAAATAGAAGAGGAATGTGCAAGAACACAAATATTCGACAGCCTAAACGTTTAATCGGTTAAACAGCCCTACTGATTAGTTGAACTTTGTCATCACTCAAACCCATTGAAATCCATCTTGGTAACGCCCAGAGACCAAATGAAAACATGCCAGCTGCAGTGGGGAATTCTTCATGAAATAACGGCCGCTGTCGATCAGCAAGTTGAACTAGCTAGCTCTCGATTTGGTAGTTAAGTTCACGTGACACGTAAGACTAGTATCTCTTAGTTTATATTCTAGCAAAGAAGGATTAAAAGCACCAAGACGTAGACGAAAAATGTATTAAGTATTGTCTCTTAGTATATATTCTAGCAAAGAAGGATTAATAGCACCAAGACGTAGACGAAAAATTTATTAAGTATTGTCTCTTAGTATATATTCTAGCAAAGAAGGATTAAAAGCACCAAGACGTAGACGAAAAATGTATTAAGTATTGTCTCTTAGTATATATTCTAGCAAAGAAGGATTAAAAGCACCAAGACGTAGACGAAAAATGTATTAAGTATTGTCTCTTAGTATATATTCTAGCAAAGAAGGATTAAAAACTTCAAGAAGTAGACGAAAAATGTGTCAGTATTGTTTCTATTCAAGAAATGGTACATTAAGAAGCTTCAATAATTTGATAAAAATGTATCAAATATTTTCTATTATCATAATTTTTGTTTCTTGTAAAGTGACATATTAAGAAACTTTAAGAGCTTAAAGAGAATGTACGAAATATTGTCACTGTGAAAAAAACCCAATATCTCACTCTCCTATAGCATGTATCTTATATTTATAAAACTTATTTTTTTAAACTTCTGATCTGGAACATAGAAAGTCTAATCAAGGCCGTGCGCTATATTCAGCTGTAGTTTGAGTCAACTCTACTGTTTGACGTGATAGTTTTTTTGTGTCCTACTTTACCTTATGCATGTTACATAAGGCAGAGATACCTCCAAATTCTTGTGATCCACTGTTAGCGTTTTCAGAGATTCATTTCTGACTTCGGAGGTTCAAGACTCACTGTCTTCGTTGTATCTTTCAACCTGATAATCGAGTACATTTCTTCCCTTTCACAACTTGGGGTCCATTAGTTTCTCAGAACTGTAACAGCAGTGATTATTTTTTTTTTGTTGGTTCTGTTGGACCCCATTGAACCATTTGTTACAATCAATAGCCTTATTTACTCTGCTGCTTGACAAGGTACGGGCAATTCACTCAAAAGTGACCTAAACTTCTGTAGGCAAAGCAAGTGCTTTGTTCCTCTCTTCCAGGATGATGTCCATGGAAAGACATGAAAATGATAGGAGGAATGGGATAAACCTTCTTCTTCTCTGTGTTCCAGGAGTGTGTGCAATTTGTTGTCTGTTGTTAAGTGCAAAGCTACACAATGTACTATTTTGCTGTGCCCACAACGAGTAGCGAAACCAGGTTTTGAGCAATATAAGCCTTCAGATTTACCATTGTATCACTGGAGGACTAGGGGGTCAGCTAACTTTTGGCTGTGTTTGAGCTTGGAATGATGAAGATTCTTGAGTAGGACAGACTGTCCAAGGTACAGCCACTACAGCTGCTGCTGCTGAAGGCTTCTTCCTTTCTTGTGACCAATTCAAAGTTATCATTGTGTATATCACCACTACAGAAATGGGCTAAGTAAGGGTGAACAGATCTCTCATATCCAGTTGGTGCCTCATTGTTCCACTGGGTAACCCTTCTACCAACTTATAAGCTAGGATATCCTCAAAATCCACTGAAGCCACTACAGAATAAGCTTTATCACGCAAACAGTGCGGATAATCCACATAAGCAGTCAAGCTCTCTGCAGCATCAATCTTCTGAGCCTTCTACTTGACTTAAAGGATTGCTCATTTTTCCTCAGGCCAAATCTTCAGCACAACGAAGCAATGATTGTCTCATTTTCTCAAAGTTGTGCCTTACACAAGTGTTTCATAGCTGAGCTGCTAAAACTCAAGATTAGGCATTGTGCAACCTGCTCTTGAGATCAGCCATTCCAAGCAATTACCTATTTGGAACACTTCAGAAAATGTTCCAAATCTTCATTTACTGTATCTTCGAATTGGTTAGAAACATTTCTCTCGCAAACTCTCACCAATCATCTGACTGATATAGCCTTGATGTCACATATATACCATATGATAAGTATGTTTAAGGATTCTGACTCTCATGTAGGTAGTTGATTCCTGATCCAGGGTGGCAGAGCAACAGATTTCTGTCTGAAGCACGTCCATCAGCTCTGCATGACCTAAGGTTCCTTTATTATCCATGGTCACTTCAGTGAGGCATTTCCTGACTCAAATAATTTCACCACTGCCCCATACTTTACAATATTGATTATTTAATATCCAACAAGTTTTCAAGTTGTGTAAAATGCCATTTTATTTATAATGAAGCTTTTCTAAACTTAAACTCAACAGTAGGAGCAGAGAGCAACATACAGATCTGCAGAAAATAGAAAACAACTCCATAATAAGATATTCTGTGGTAACGGCATCAAACGTTTGTTTTCCCATCCACTCTTTGGTACTTTCAAATCAAATTGATTTGTTTTACAATAGCAATATAAGTACATAGAATAACAGGATATTCGACAAGACATGCACTGGAAGGTAGTTCTGAGTTACCTGAACAACTGAGTTTGTGAGATTGAAGTAAGGAAACTTGACACAAAAGTACAGAACTTCAAGAAACAATCTTTATTTAAAACAAAAACACAGTGCGTACACTTGCTTTGGATGCTGGGCAGTAGTTTTTACTAGATCTGAACTATTCTCTTTTCAAAATATATTGGCATTTTTGTTAAGATAATAATGTAGAAAATGCACGGTATGCCTGCATATTAGAGTATCAGATATTGTTTCTTAATGTACATTCTCATTTATAGTTAGCAAGTAGAATGTTAAGAAGCTTCAAGAACTAGAATAATATATCAATGTATCTTAATATATACATTCTAGCTTTTACAGTTGTACATTATGAAGCTTCAAGAACTATAAGAAATATATTAAGTGCTATCTCATAGTTTCATTTTAGTCAAAATGTGGTATATAGAAACTTCAAGAACTTTAAAGAAAATGTATAATATTCCATGTCTTTGTGTATAGAAGAGATAAAATAAGAATCTTCAAGAACTAAATGAAAATGCATCAAATATTGAC